TATTCAAATTGCAGAGATGTAGGTGGCAAGATGGGAAAACTACTGGTGACATTAAACTGTACATTGGCTGGCCACCTCAAGTCATTGCATAGGCTATATACGTACGCATTCAACATGCCACTGCGGTTGAATGCGCGGGCGTATCTCTTGAACAAGATTGATTAATGCCTCAAACTTATCCTTTATCCTTACTTAACCTTCAAGTCTAATGAGCACGGCACTATCAACACTACGATGAGCAATAATGTACATCTACGGATATCCTGGTAATGCGCCTGACGGCAGTCGGAAAACCGATGTTCAGTTAAGTGTGAGTGTATACGTGGTCTAAGTTGCGCTCGATGACTGGCGTTCCCTGCGACAAGGAAGTAAGTTAGCGCTCTGATTCAAAGATCCACAGGACCGTCGTACGTTCAGGCACAACTTACGGTGCGGTGTGCTAGCACACGACCACAGTAATGTAATGGAAGCGAACATGAAACGCAGAAAGTCAGATGTTCAACTAGAGCATATTTCACCCTACCCAACACTATATGACTGCGAAGCTGCAATATCCACAGATAGAGCATGGTGTTTGTTGCGGTAGCAGATTTTGTTAAAACTAAAGTTGTTGACGTCTGCACTTGTTCGCCCCTTATGTGCGTTTTTCTCATCTATAGTGTTCGGCGTTACCGCTCGTACACTTTAGACATGACATGACGGAAAATAAAGAGATTCTAGAAGGACCATCATCTGTATTTTCAGTCGATTTTGAGTTCACGCTCTTTGGAATATCTGGAGCATGCTCAGATCGCAAGTTAATAGTGGTAAATATTCTCAACACACCCACACTACACATATTGAAATTTCGCATGATTCGATCCAGTAGGTAAGGAGTTACGACTGAAAAGTACGACAGAAGAAGCATTTCATCGAAGACTTTTGAGCGCTACTGTAGAAACCGATACCGATACTATTTATTTATTTTTACCCGCTCGCAATTACGGGTCCTTCTATTCCGTCATTGACTGGAGCACAGCTTCCTCCTTTTTGTCGACGCCCTGCTGACTATTTTCCATTAATTCTACTCAAGGAAGACTTGGTCAAGCCGTTGTGGACATGTGATGCAGCATGCGTAGCCTAACTGCTCTTGCTATGTAAAGCACGTGGCTAGCCTTCAGGCACGGTCATGTCTTACGCATTAGCAAGAATACTATTTGGAAACTATACATCAGGTGAAGGAGTTTCTTCCTTCATTGTATGTTCCCAATGATCACTGAAAGGTTGGGTGAAAATGTAGTTAGGGAGTGGGGGAAGCAGCGCGCTCTCGAGTCGTTGAAGGCTAGAAGGCAGAGAATGAGGGTAGCCGACCTTATTTGTTCTTAGAGGTGGTTTCAGAAAAGGAATATCAAGGAATATTCTCATCTAACTTGAACAAGGGGAGGAGTCTGGGGTGGGTGAAATGATTATATTGTGCAAAAAGCCGAGATGAGATAAGAGTTGAACATCCACTTGACTACCCTTCCTTCTCTGCGCAATTTGAAATCTTTTGCCATTATGAATGAAAGTCGCAAGTATGGCACAACAATGATGAATACAGTTGATCAACAAACGCACAGAAGTTTTGGAAACAGTTTACTAGTACTCATTCAAACATCTTCAATGAAAGAAGTTAATGATGAGAAGACATTTTAATGGTGAATGTACGTAATTTCCAATGTATAACCGTTTGCAAATTCTATGTTGATGTGTAATATAGTATCTTTTCAGAAAGAACGAAAATACAAGAAATCCCTCTGCTCTAACGAGTAACTTTTTTGATTTTCGACTTTTTTTCGTCCTTTTCCTCTTCCTTCGTTGCCAATTCAGCCATCCGTCGATTGTATCGTGTAAGCATGTTCACATAAGCGGTAAGGAATTCTGTATATTTCCCTTCGCGAGGAAGAACGCCCTCCTAAATTAGTTTTAGAAGGGGAACGTACTGCATCTCTCGGCAATCTCTAGACATCTTTATGCTAAGTAGATAATAAGGTTTTGTCGCACAAGTACTACTCTGAAGACATTAGTTCCTGGCTGGAACAGTTACCACGTATGAATTGGCTGTTCGCCAACAACATTCGTGAGCAGGACTCCAAGCAAAGTAATGGTAAAGCTGTTCTGGTTTCTTTTGATGCAAATCCTTTTAGGTTCAGGAACTGCGCTTCTGATAGTGTCTCTTCCTTTTACCCATAGGATCGGATGCCCACTATCAAAGGCTCAGTTCAAATGAAAATGGTTTTCGAGATGTTCACATAGGATGTATTTGGCCCGAACATATGGCATATGAGATGAAACAGAACGGAAAAACGGCATACATGGGGCATTATAATGGCTTTAGCGCTTCTACCGGTTGTATGCTACACCCACCGGGTTGACAGGATATGAAAAACTCGGTCATGCACCGCTGAACGGTTTGGAGCAGCTTGTTTACGATTCAACCAGCTGATAGGTTCTTAATAACTGTTCCGAAAGACCAGTAGTAAGTGAAAAGCACCTGAGGTCATCAACTGATTAATATTCTGGACATGTCTCGCTTACTATGCCAGATGTACTCAGTGACACGAACATTTGTCTGTTCATCCAACACCCCTTTCTTGCTACTGTAGCTTTCTCGTCTAACCCCTAATTCTATTACTTTTTTGGAGCCTTTTATTTCTCGAAATATCTTTGCGTTTCCTTCGTCGCTTTTGCTCCATTCTGAACTAATGCTCCCATTTCTCGTCTATAACTAGATGCCTAAACACTATCGTGAACATTGCTTTTGATATAATGCAACGTTCTCTCAGCTTAACTCCTGTGGATCTTCAAAAATGCTTACCTGAACAAACAGTTCTAGCACACACACGTGGAGATAGGTGTACTGAATGATGCCCTGGACGCCTTGAAACCTTCGATTCCTGAGGTCTTTAAACATATCAACCATTTTCACATTGCTATCCGCTTTCACTTTCTGAGCTATGTAATCAACTCCT